AAAATTATATAAATTTTATTTTGAAACTAATATTGTACTAATTTCTGCCAAGTGAGTTTTAAAAAAAATAACGCATTTAGGTTTTAATAACTTATTCAGTATTTTTAAAATCAATTTAGTTTTAGTTTATTTGGTTTCATCGCATTATCCTTATAATAAACTAGGGCGGCAGGGATTTTTTTATAGGTCGATAGTGGTTGTGTGACAACGTGTGACAGCACTATTTTCCAGCTCTAATTCCGAGTATACACAAGTATATGTTATACTTATAGGAATTTATAAAATATAGTGCAGAAAATTAAATAACATTTTATTGTTTCCCAGTAGTTCCGAAATATATTTTTGTTAAATTATTTTTCTACTCAAAATAAAAAAGAAAATTCTTGTATTTATATAAAATATTAAAAAAAAAATGTTTTTTGTTTCATTTAAAATAATTATAAAATTACTTTCCTAAACTGGAATTGTTGTTTAGCTTTCAAGATAATCTATCAGTTTCTAACTTTATTCTTTGCGGTGTCGTCGTGCAGCTACTTTATTTTGACATTACCTGTGGATTGATCCACTCTCCTGTTAACTACCTTTGCGCTGTGAGCTCGAACCCTCATGCTAAGCCAATATTTCATTGAAGTACATTGGATTGCATTGTATTGTACATTGGATCAACCGATTGCTGCTCGAGCGACATTTGGGCGCAAATCTAGTTTGCCTGGGTTTTTTGTTTTCGTTTGTCTTTTGCGTACTACCGTAATCCCTAAGCTGTCTCGCAGTTGGCTCGGCATAACACGAGCTCTGTCTGCATTGTGATTGTAACGGGGGTTTGGGACGTGGCACTTACCTCTTCCTCATTGCTGGCCGTGTTCACGGAGTCCATACTCTGTGAGAGTCCCAGCGGGGCGAGCGCCATTTGATTTTCCATTATGCTGGCTTCTCTGCTTATTGTTGTCGCTGTTGCTGCTGCTGTTGTTGTGTTTGTGTTGTTGTTATTGCTGTCACTGGCGACTGTTGCTGCGGCACTGGCACTGCCTGCCGGCGAGGGAGTCGTCGGCGCCGACTCGTGCGACTGTGACTCGTGCGTGGAGCTGCCCGGGGAGTTGGTATTGTTGCTGCTGTTGACTGTAGTTGCTGCTGCTGTGGCAACACTTAGCGCAGTGGTTGCTGCTGGTGGGTGCTGGGCAGCTGCTGCTGCCGTTGAGCTGCTCTGTTGCTGCTGCTGCTGCTGCTGCTGCTGTTGGTGTTGCTTGTTGGTGTTGCTGTTGCTCAGCACCAAGTGCTGCTGTTGCTGCTGTGGTGCGTACTGTGCGTGAGCGTGTCGCAGCTGATATCCACTATAATGGCCAGGCGCTTGCTGCTGCTGCTGCTGTTGGTGCTGTTGCTGCAGCACCGCCACGTGCTGCTGCTGCTGTTGCTGATGCGCCGCGGCAGCTGCAACGGCCGAGTGCTGTAGATGCTGGTTGAGAAGGGCAGCGGCGGCGGCTGCCTGATTGAACTGGGCCAAACGCTGCTGCTGCTGTTGCTGCTGCTGGTGTTGCTGGTGTGCGTAGGCAACCTGCTGTTGCTGTTGCTGCTGCTGCTGTTGTTGCTGGTGGTGCGCGGCAACGGCGGCCGCAAACTGTGTCGGGTGTGCAAAACTCAGCTGATGGCCCTTGAGCGCTGCGGCTGCTGCTGCTGCGGCGGCGGCGGCTGCTGCTGCTGCTGCTGCTGCCGGCGAGGTGGCGTACTGCAGATGGGCACCGGGCGCGGCAACTGCTGCTGCTGCGGGCACGGGCAGCACCGAAACGGCGGCGGCGCACTGGCGCTTGGGCGACGGCGACAACACCTGTGGGGCACTCGCTGGCGTTTGCGGCAGCGTCGGCCTGCGTTTAATCGCAATCGACGAAATGGTGATGGCTTTTTCAAACACTGGCCGCTGGTGTTGTTGGTTGTTGATGGTCGTGGTGTTGGTGTTGGTGCTGGGTATTAGGGATGCTGCTGTCGATGCTGCTGTCGTCAGCGTTGGCGGCGTCGGCGTCGGCGTCGTTGTCACTGCGGGCAGCAGTTGCAATTGTGGTTCGGCGATATGGAGCAGATGGTGATGGCTGCCCAACAGGCTCTGGTTCTGATAGTTGGCTATGTTGGCGACTCAGTTAACCTGCAAAGCAAACAAAGTCAAAGAGAGCAACATTACCACAACATGAATAACAATTGAATGCTGTCTAAAATAAATCTGAGGGCTGACATTGACATGACAGACGACAACTCAATCGGAATTTGAAACATCGAAACAACATTTGCTAACTGCAATCATTATATTAGCTCAAAATGATGAA